CAGAAGAGTGGAGCTGCTTTTGTGGAGATTGCAAAGTCACACACTCAGACACCCTGATGGTTTGCGCAGGGTAGCATAGCTGTACAAAAGTGTCACTGTGTTAATAAACATGTCAGAAGCTAAGCCTTTCCAGAACCTGTGTGTGGGCCTTAAGTGGTGAGGGAGCCCGTTCTTGGCATCACCCACAATGCCTCTCCACCTCCAGGAAGATGCCCCTGAATGCTGGTGACGCCCGGGCGGGTCTCAGCCTGTCACTACCATGCCTGTCAGAAGTCATTAGCCCCTGGTTTCTTTGACTAATGTTGCAGCTGATTGTCTGCATCAGGTTCAGACACTGCAAATGACGCAGAAACACCTTCTCTGCTCGCCAACTGTGAGGTGGCTGGAGGGGGCCAATGTGCCAGAAATCAGAAGAAATGTGTTTCCAATGAGATTTGACAAATGATTTCAAGCTCATGGTGGCAAACCTGACTTTGTACATTTTCTATGTTTATTATTATGCAAGTAAAAATCAGTGTTGTTTTCCCTTTCCTTCAAAGCAAAGCCAAGAGCTAAGACTGGTGCTGAACTTGTGTTTTAAGATGGCACAGTCCGGGGTTTTTCTGGGGTGTGTATAACAAGATGCCAGAATGTGCTGCCTTCTTATGAAAGAAGCAAAAACGGTACCCAGGGCAGTGGACTCGTAGCTTCTTGTTTACAGACATATCTGCTGGTGTGCCTTGTGGCTTTACAGATGATGTTTGCTCTAAGCGGGTTTATTTTGACTCTTCTAGACAGGCATGGCTTCCCAACAACAAATAAATCTATTCTTCATAATCAAATTGGTGAGTTTTAATTTGAGGTTTTCACTTAATATAATCAATTAAAACTAGGATTGTTTGTTTTGTATCATTAGAAAAGCTTTACAGCAGATGTTCCTGTTGGGTATTGCTAGGTGTTCGTTCCCCGGCAAAATCTTTCTTCAATGGTATCATTCATCCTTATTTCAAGACATTTGCTCAAGCTGTCCTCTAACTCCTGGATCCACTCCAGGTCTTCCTTTAAAATGTAGATTGATGTTCTTTTCATATGAAGCTTCTTGTTGGATTTTCTCCAGAACTCTTAGAGATACCTAAAATTCATTCATTTATTAATTTCATCACAAATTACCTTCCATTCCTCCAAACATTACTTTGGCTGCACAAGGCCGGGGCAGTTCTATAATAGGTTTTAGCACCTAGAACAGAGCTGGCTTCTAGAAGTCTCTAGGAGTTTCTCTAGTGACTTGGTGTCATTGGGTTATATCTTTACTCCTTTACGTAGATTCGTCCACTGCACAAAGGACAGTGTTGATCACTTTAGACGAAAAGGTCCTTAGGAGCAGAGATCTGATTTTATAACTAGTAACCCATTTGGAATGGAATGTGCTGGAAAACCTCTTTGCATGGTACTACTTCTTGGTTCTAGAGTTTGGGCAGTGTGAAGAAAATGATGACAAGAGGGAATTAAATTAGCGCAGTGTTGCCTTCACCGGGGTCTCATCTGCTGTGAGGCAGTCTCCTCTTTTCTATAACTCTTCTACACCACTAGACGTGTGGACTGACTTTCCCCACTTTGCTGGCCTTGAACTGACACAACAGCAAACCAGATCAGTGGTTTCCTTTTCTTCAAAGGCCCATGAACTTCACTGACTATAAATTTGAAAGATAAATTTTCTTATCTATTAGAATACTGCACACCTAAGAATTCTTTGTTCCCACTTCTCTGAGTTATGATCGTAGATTTTAACCATCCCGACTATAGATATGCGTATAATATATTGGCAACATGAGTCTGCTCAACCGAGGGCCCTTCAGATTTCCACAGATGGGGCTAGGCTTCCTTGGATCTGCGCACATAGTGTGTCTTGCAAAAACAGTTCCATGCCTTGTCCGGTTGTTCTCACTGATTTCAGTTGCCCAGGACTTGCTAACTGCCTGTCAGTTTGTGGATCACAGCTTATCTACTTTCAAAAGCAGAGAAGGGGCCACATCAGACTTTCGTCAGTGTGGGAAAATCCTTACTACAGACAAGCCAGAGGAAGTATGTTTGGGGCTGTGTTTTCAGAGGTCTCTGGCTGTCCTGGTGAGGAGGGCAAAGCGGAGCAGAGGAGCCAATGTCATCGATGCCGTAAAGGAACAAAGGAATGCCTTGCTAAGGGCTTGCTCATTCGCCTCTCTTATTTCATGACAGGCCTTGCTTAGTCTACAGCCCCGTGGTACCCACGTCAGGGTAGGTCAGCCCCCACTAGTCCATCCCCTCCAGAGATGCCCTCTCATACACACCTGAAGCTATACTTACTAATCTCTTAGACACTCTTAATGGGATTAAGGTGATGAGATTAAGTATCACAGTAGCCTATTATAAGTTAGTAAAAAATACTTCAGTCTTCCATAGAATTCATAACCATGTTATTTTTCTATTTCAAGTCATATTTTTTTTCTTTTTACTTTAATAAGAACATCTTACACCCTCTGTCCTTAGATTTTTTTTTCCCACATGGCATGTCTCTTCTCTTGAGCTCATGTTCCTGGGTCAGAGAGACCCCATCTTAGACCAGATCTTCCACAAGATACCCAGTGTGGCTCATGTACTCGAATGCTTCCGTGTTTGGAGAGTTAAAAAAAAAAAAAGAAGAAGCATGTATTTTCAACGGCCTATGTGGTCCCTGGTTCTCAGGCACTTATTTACACAATTACAGATTCTCTCAAGCCACATAATAAATTGATTGTCTTTGCTTTGGGGAGGGAAGCCTTTCACAGGGGCTGCTCTGGAGGCTGGTGAGGAGGGTAAGAATTTTGCTGTGTAGAGTATAGACTACATGCTGTGATGCATGGAATCACGGGAACCAAGCGACAGCTTTCTTCTTTAATGAGGACATTAGATGCAAAGAGCTCTCCCAGCCTGCCTGTTGGAATATTGAACAGATATGGAGGAGCTAAGGCTAGTACATGCCTGTAGCTCCAGCTACTCAAGAAGTTAAGGCATGGTTGCTGGAGGCCAGGGTATGGGTCCAGCTTGGGAGACAGAGTGAGATCCTTTCTTACAGAAAGGGAGAGGGGGACTGAGCAAAAGAAAGGGAGAACACTTTGGTTAGTGTTCACCCCTGGAGACGATATCCATCACCATAAGAAGCCACACGGGGAATGGGGGACATGAGAGAGCTTCACTGTGTAAGCCCGCTTACGCCCTGGAGAAACTTGCCAAAGGTTATTGCTGATTCACAAAATTGCATCATTCCAAAGCCCATCCTACTAGGCCATGCATAAATGTTCTCAGTGTTGCAAACAAGTCACCACTGTCAGATTTCCCGAGCTTTAAAACAGTGCCAGGGCAAGGGCGACAGTTTTTATTGAAAGAAAGCAAATGAACTATTTTGGGCACAAAATATATTAATATTCAGTCTTTAATTTGAGATTTTAGAATGTCATCTAAAAAATGTGGACCAAAATAGAGTTCTATAAAGTCTCTTCCTAAATATTTTTATACATCAGCTCAACAAGGTTTCTTACAAACTTAAAAAATTGAGAGGTTCCATCTCACACCTCAGAATAGCCTCTGTACAGACATCTCAGGCTAAACTAGGGAACTGTCAGCTGTGAGGACAGGATGCAAAGAATATCCCCAAGTTTCCTGAGCTTCATGAAGAGGCCTGAAAGTAAGGGTGAAGGTCATGTTTGTTTTCCATAAAACAATAACAAGTTGGCAAGTTGTTAGCAGAGTCCCCAGTTACACAGAACAAGCCGTCACACTAAACCTCATACATAAATGCAATCATTACTTGTCAATTAAAACCATCGAAAGTATTTTCAAAACTTAGAACTTTGCGGACTTAACAAGAATCAAAAACCAGGGTTGATGTGAACCTGTGGATAGGGCTTAGCATGAGCAATCTTATAAACCACAGAAGGTCTGCTTCTAAGAGGCCAGGATGGCCTCATGGGAATTGTTTCCCAAATGTTAACTCTGAAGGGGAAGTTGACATGAAAGCAGAGTGGAGGGGAGAGGTTCCAGGGAAGGGCAGTGTGTGAGTGAACACAATAAAGAGGAGGAGGGAGAACAGAAATGAGTATCAGCCCAGTGTTACTGCCTAACCCAGACAGAGCACTCCAGGCCCGTGTCCACCCCTCCCCGCCGACTCACCCTCTCCAATGCCATAGAGCGATTTTCACTAATTCTTCCTTAGAAGATGTGCAAAAAGGATTTCCATAGGGGTCTTTGGAGATTGCCTGTGTCCTCATGTGTGTAATAGGTTGGGTCACGTAACAATAAAGGAAGGGGGGTGATTTCTGTATTCTCCTCGCCTGACCAGGGAACAGAGGGGCAGGGGTGGGAGGGAATCAAAAAGACAAAAAATGACAGCACACAATGATGTCAGTGTTAAATTAAATTAAGATCATATGTTTGGCTGTGGCGGCAGTAATCTCTTGATTATCGGGGAGATTGCTGGTAATGAAGTACATTTGTAAGAAATATTTTTAGTGTGTGCTATATACACATAAGAGTGCAAGACAAGCCTCTCCTAAAATGACAGATTAAGAAAAGGCCTATTGCCTAAATTCATTCTTTTCAAAGAGCTATTTATAGAAAGAGCCATGATATTTGAACTACCATAGTAGAACATTCTAATCTGCCTTATATTACCTTAGGTAATAGTCTTCATATTTTAAAATAATGCCGTAAACCATCCAATTATTTATTCGCACCTACATTACATAAACGGGAAAGGTTTAGAGAATTGGGATAGCGTGAAGAGCGAAAAGTATTTTTACAAAAGGAAGACTTCACTGTCGTGTCTCAAAGACATGGCCATGAAACAGTCCATAGCACAGACAAAAATAAACCAAGCCAGCGTGAGTCTTCAATAAACAAACAAAACCCAGCCATTTTAAAAAGCTGTTAATTTTCACCCTGCCTGCTGTGAAATGCGCTGCCCTTAGATGTGGACAGACTACATGCTCACCGTGGCCCTCTCTCCACAGGTGCTCCGTAGACACAGTGACATCGCCGCAGACACGGGTGATGAGCTCATCCTGGGGAGAGCCTACGAGGCGATCGCCAAGGTCCTGCAGTGGTAAGTTAGCACAGCCTTGTCCTGCTGTCCCTGCAGAGCCACCCAGCTGTGAAAGACTTAAATTGTTTGAGGTCTGTCGCTTTCCATTACTGCCTGCTTAAATTTTAAGCAGTGCCCTTCCTAAGTGACCCTTTGATTGTAAGTTATTTTAAACCAGGGTGGTATTGTTAAAAAAAAAAAAAGATGTATCCAAAGTTTTTTTTTGTCAGTTCCTCCTTCAAGTTAGCTCCCTTTCGGTTTTCTGCAAGTTTAGTGATGACCTTGAATGAACCAGAGAAGGAAAAAAATCAGGTCACATCTCACAGGCCAGGAGCTCAGAGAGCTGGCACCAGGCAGTACGCTTCAGCGCTGACAGTGACTGGCCTAACCTTTCCCAGGCTCTTTGGGAAGAGTTTCCATTTAAACTTCCGCCATGCTTCTTCCATTAAGCAAACCTGAATTTTGGGTGCAAACCAATATGCCCAACATTTCATTGGAAACAAAAGGGTTAACAAAAGTCTGTATGAACAGCTTCTAATGTGTGGCCTTGGGTGGGAAACATCATGATTGCCTCTCACTTCCCGAGCTGCCGCCACTGTGTTAGGTCACGTTATTCATTACAGAGCAAAGCTGCGTGCTAGTCACTCACCAGCGCCGAAGGTCACTAAACTGACAGTCTTGGTTTTCGGTAGCTAACTTAGATCCAAAAGGTAGCCTGTTGGTGATGACGATAGCAGCAGCGTGTGTAAGTGTGCTACAGTGCGACTTCCTCGCTTTCTTCTTTCACGTAAACGTGTACAGGGCCGTCTGAGAAGGCCGGGTGTTTTCACAGGCCTTGTGTTTATATGCTTCAGAAACTAAAAGCAGAATCATTACATAAATACTGCAAATACAAGAATCGCCGCTTAACGTGTCAATACCAACGAAATGGAAGGCGAAGGTGTCCTATAAATATCAGTTAAGCATGGTCACTGCTGGACAAACGTCTTCGGAGAAGGCATGCTAACGAGAGTGTGGATGTTCGCTGGAGAGAGGCGGGGCCAGCCACACTTAAGGAAAATAGGCAGCCTGAAAGCGGACCCTCCAAATACATGTGCTGACCAGTCCCCAGAAGACCAACCCAGCTGTCTCCTGAAAGGTCTACTCTCCAGATAGCAGCTAAGATGAGTCAGTATTCAACCTAATATCTTTTTGGATTTACTAACCCCATGCACTTCTCTGTCCAGCTCATTTCATTTACTAAAGTAGTTGCCTCTGGTGTCATGGATGGGTTATTTTGGGTGTGTGGTGGGGTATGGGGTGTTGTTTTGTTTTGTTTGCTTTTATTATTTATTTATTTATTTATTTATTTTATATATTTTATATGTATGCATATTTTGTGTGTGTTTATCTGTGCATTGCCTACATGCCTAATGCCCACAGGAGCCAAAATAGGAGGGAATGAGATCCGCTGGGACTGGAGTTATAGTGGTTGTCAGCATCTGCTTTGATACCCTGCTGGGTAGAATTTTTCAGACACCCTCCTGTCCTGTTCCCTGTTTTTTCCCTCTTCCGATGTCTGTCCTGTTTGCCTTTCTGAATGAGGATCATCTTACCCAGGGTCCTCCTTCTTTAGGTGTACAGATTTTAGCATGATTATCCCATATTATATGTCTAATATCCACTTATAAATGAATATATGCCATGTGTGTCTTTCTGCTTCTGGGATACCTCACTCAGGATGGTCTTTTCTAGATCCCACCACAGATGAAAGTAATAAGGCAAATGGGATCAGCGACATGAGAAAATGTAAACAGGTGTCCTTGATTCCAGGGTTAATAGAAATGTTTGTGGTGGTCTTGAGGGAATGTTTTCCTCTAGCATTTGTGTGTCACAGGATGAACGTCTGTGTGGCCTTTGGTTACAGATGGATCTCATATTTATTTTTCCAACACTTGGACACTCGAGGTTGGCTGCAAGTCATCTGCAGAGGGCCACTGTATGTCACATGTGGGATATTTCAGTCTGTCCCTCCGAATTTGAACTCCTGATCTGTCCAGTCAGAGAGGAGTAAAAGTTGAGTGATAATCTGGAAAATTTGGCAACACAGAGACAATTGAATGTGTTGAGGCGGGAAAGGCTATAGCTGTACAGGACAGGGCAGGCAGTGGTAGGTTTTTCTTAGCATGCAGACAATCCTTCTCTTATTTCCTCAGCAACATGGCAAACAGAACTCTGGGAATGGCCCAGTCAGGGAAGCGCTTGTTGAACACAAAGACCTGTGTTCAGAGCTCCAGCCTCCACAGAAACGGGGCACGGTGTTCCATGCTGTGATCCAGCACTGCACAGCTCCAAACAGGCAGCTCCCTGAGACCTGCTGGAGTCAGAGTCTCAGCGGAGAGCTCCAGGCCTGACAAAGAGGCCCTGTCTCAAAAACAGCATGATAAGCAATTGAGGAAGACTCCTAATATTGTCCTCTAGCACACAGAGACACACACGGAGACAGACAGAGAGACGAAGGGAGAAACAGATAAAGACAGAGACAGAAACAGTTCACATCTTACTATGCCAAATAAAACTAACTGCACTTACAGAAACTGCCTTCTCCTACTGTATAGTAAAACTGCCAATAGTTTGTGCATGTGAAGACAAGGGTCCCTAATTTTGTAAGGTCATGTAGAACACAGGAGGTTACACAAAGGCTCCTTCTGAAGTCACAGGATAGAATGTCCCAGGCCACCACCTTCCCAATGCAGGACTGCCATATTGCATCATTAGCTCCTAGGACACTGAGAGGAGCATGGCCCTGGTCAGGGAGATAATCTAGTGACATTTTGTTCTGGATGACATCAGCACCCTGGACATTTGGAAAGCTTTGATTTAAATCAAGTCTGTTAAAGTCAGAACCTTCACATGTTTGTGGTCATTTTTAGAAAATGCTGCTTGAGGGGTTAATATTAACTTTAAAAAGCATGTCCACACATATGTGAACACACAGGTACATACATGTTAACCCCATTCCCAAGTTCTCAACTGTCCTGTGCTGAGCAGCACCACACAGGAAGTGCCACAGGTGGAATAGAAGGAATTAGGGCAGCGGTGGCTGAGAGATAAATCAGGCTGTGTGAGGCTTCACCTCTCCCTAAACATCTTCTTTCCTGACCTGCATGATCGCACCAGTTTCCCTAACGTCAGCGCATCTCTATGAACATATTTCATCTCTTTAAAAGAAACGGAAGTAGATAGCCACGTCTGGGACAAGTGGGTGTCTACTGCCGTCAGCTCAGGTCTATACGCTGGAAGCTTCTAAAATGGTTACCAGAATTTATACCAAGCCTTCAGTTAGGAAACACACCATATTCTCTCCAGGCAGGATTTGGTGAGGTCGAGTTACCCTTTGGTGATGCCCAAGTCAGACCTTGTATGACCTGTTAAGGAAGGCTTCAAAAGTCAACAACATTTTTTTTTACTATTAGCATAAATGACACACGCTAAACAAGGGCGTAAGCAGTGTAAAAGAAAATAAGCATTTACAATGTCATTTCTTCCTTACTTGCAATAGTACTGAAGGAAAGGGTCACTTCTCAAAAAGACACTGCTATAATAGTCACCTTTGATTCATAAAGAAGAGTTGAGAAATTGCTAATTAACCATTACTGTTATTGTTGTCTGTTGTTGTTACTGAGAGGGAAGGGTCAAATGCATGCAAAGGCAGAAAACCCCTTAATTTTCCCTATCGAGCATGTATGTTTGTATATTCCTAACTAATTCATTTGTTCAAATGCCACAACTCTTCAACTTAATCAGGACAGCTACCTAAAAGAATATAGAAAACAAGGACACTTCCGAACTGTGTTCACAATACGTTGTTGGTCACAGCTAGCCCAGTTCTGGGTTTCTTTCACGCCCATTGTAAATTTCCTCACACACTTGAGTTAAATGATTTCCTGGAGAACTTTCCACAGTGGAGATCTTCCAATCAATTCCAACAAAGTTCCCAGTGTGAAAATTACCTTTCTGTTATAGCTGAAGATTAATTTCTTTTTGCTTGAGAGAAATGACACGCCCTAGTAATTTTCATATATCCTATAAAATGGAACATCCAGGCTCTGGTGTGAAATTTGCTAAAAATGACAAAAAAAAAAAAAAGACTGCCAGAAACATTTCTATTAATTCATGGAATTAAGGACAGCTTTTTACATTTTCTCCTGCCGCTGATCCCATTTGCCTTATTACTTTCATCTGTGGCCCACAAAGTTGGCGGCACAATGAGTAAACCCTCAGCGGCTGATTCATCTCTGCTCTATTTGATTTCTCCTCTCTGAGTAAATGATTAAGTTTTCATGCATTGGCTCAACCAAAATCTATGTTCAGTCAACCACATCCTTTATTGATTACTTCTTCAGCAAACACTAGGCCAAGTGTGATATACATAATTGGACAGTTGTCAGGGGACGTGGGTGTTAACGGTCCTGTTTTCCCAGTTGGAAAGTGGAATCACCTTGATACACAAATATCCTGCCCCGTTTCATTCTCATTCTTTGGAGCGAGAAGTCCTGGTCCTTAGAATATGTGTTTTTAACTCTCCGAGGTCTGGTTGAATGAATTTAATGATTATGTCATGTATCTGCTGCTCAAGTTGCACCTGTGCACTGCATATAGGAAGACTGGAATTAATATTTGTCTAACATTTTAACCTTGTCTTTGAACTTAAATAATATGTAGCCTTTCTCCAGGAAAAAAATAATAATAATAATTGATCCCCCTCTCCCAAGGGCAGGCTAGCTTCTAAATCTGCTGTTAATTCCTACATTTGGAAGCTTTCTCTCCACCCGTGTGGCTTATATTCCAGTTGCTGGACTGGTGGCCTGTCTTGATGATGGAGTTGCACATTCACTGAGTGGAAAAATAACTTATCAGAGAAGACCTTCTCTGACATTGCTTTAGAACAAGTCCAGGAAAATCCTGTGTGCTTGGGAAATCTGGTGCTCCTTGGGGGTCTGGAAAGATGTTCCAAATACCCAGGAATCACTGTCTTTATACCACTTTGTATTTTTTCCCCACTAAACTTCTTTTTGTTCTGCTGTTTGAGTATGATATTATTTAACTATCCTCAACAGGCCAAATCTAAACTCTACTTCTATCTAAAAATATACCCACTTTTTAAAGAATATTAAACGTAAATAAGCTTTATTGACTCTGTTTTAGCAAAGTACCAACAATGAATTATCCTTTACAGTCATAAAGAAGTCTTCTTTTTCTTGGGATATTATAGTACAGAAAAGAGGTTAAAAAGTTAGCATGAGTTTGCTAAACTATTCCAAGTCTAGGTAATATTATTATACTCTATATTTTATTTTTATTTATTTGTGTTTTATTTATTAGCTTATATGCTTTATTTATGTTCATTTTATTTATCAATATTTTATACTCTTCTTTTTCAATTCATCTTAGTTTTGTTGTAGACAGATAATTTTTTGAGATTATAATATAATTACATCATTTCCCCCTTTTCTCTCCTCCTTCTAAACCCTCCCATGTACCATCTACCCTCTTGCTGTCTTTAATATTGATAGCCTCTTTTTACTTAACTGCTGTTACTACAGTATGTGTGTAGATTTATATTCTTAAATCCATAAACACGACCTACTCGGTTTGTGTAGTGTTAGCAACCCCAGAAAAAGAACCGCAAGTAACAAAGAAATTCTGGAAGCTGTGGAAATATTCTTCCCCAGGGAAAAGCACGTAGATTGGTTATCTAATGCCAAATGGCCCTCCCTGAAAACATATACAGTCAAATATTTAAGTTAAAACTGATAGCAAACCTCTCTTTATAGTTTAATATGTGCTCCATAAACAGCATAACTTTTCTAGAGAATTGACCTATGTCTCAGTCTGGAAAATGATTCAGGATTCTGGTATGGAAAAAAAATGTTGCATGTGGAATTATGAAAAGCAGCACTCACAATTTTGGGGAACATGAAATTCCATTTATTTCTACTCTGTAGATCACCGGATTACCATCAGGAAAGGAAGAATGTGTTTGATGGGATCTAATAACCAGGACCCCAAGTGTCCCTCGGACAGAGCATTCACTGGTTGATGGCATAGTGGGGATTTTCACAGCGGGAGCTCAGCTACACTGAGTTTGTCCCTCCTGGCCACAGTCTCTAGCAGAGCCATGGACATTGCCACCTGTTACTTCACTGACGTCACTCTTGATCCCTGCCCCGTACCCACCTGCTCGTTTACACACTTTCACCACAGAGCTACTTACAACCATGTTAAAAATTAAGAAACAAGCGCTTTCTCTGTGTCTATAACCTTAATATTATCAGAATTATTTATCATATAAGAGAACAAAAGAGGAACAAAAAGGATACACCAAGCATGCGCGTGACCAGGCTTGTCCTAAGACCCACCACCCATGGCTTCCTTAGGAACACACTCGCTGATAAAAAAGAATGTTGCCAACCAGAGCTTGAGAACTCAGGAAGGGCGACAGCCTCCTCCTCCCGTGGCCTGTTTCAAACCAGTGCCTGCCTATAAAAACGCGCTAACATATCCTTGTTTCATATTCATTTGAATCACCCAACAGCAGCACATCATGGCAGATCTGGACAAAACAAAACAAAAACAAATTGGAACAATTTTTAAAAACAATTTTTAAAAAGAAAATAAGAGAGAGAGATGAAAGAAAGAAAAGGAAAATAGAAAAAAGAAAGAAAAGGAAGGAGAAATCTCTACACATAATTTTATTTTGGGACAAAATTCACTAATTTATTTAATGAACATTTTTAGTACTATGCTGTGACAGAGTTCCCTAAAGAACAGCCATAAACATCATCAGCCTTCTCAGTAGGTTCTGTCCTTAAGAATAATCACTTAAAGAAAACTGCCCCCCCCCCCCTTGTATGCTAAGAGCAGCTGGGAACAGGAAAGGCAGAACTGAAGTTCAGAGGGAAACCAGAGCACCCCAGAATAGAGACTTGTCAAGCACAGGTGCAGAGCAGATCACACCAAGGTACCATGAATTATGGGAGAGAACAAGATGCTGGGTGGAACTCCAGAAAGAGAACCCTGCAACTTTCGGGGTGAGATCCAGAAGCAAAGGAAAGACGCAGGCGAAAGGAGAGAGTGGAGACTGTTGGAATGTGCAAGAGGCACTGGAGAAGGAACAACATCTGGAGAAAGATTCTGGGGTCACTAACACTGGTGCGAGGGGAGGGTGGAGGAGAAGGCAAGGGCCTGTGGGTTGAAGTGCACTGTGTGTTATCTACAGCTCAAAACACAGGGGTGGACTCCTCTCCAAGGTCATGGTGCTCATGAGATTTGACATTCAGTTCCTTCTAACTGCCTTTTAAGACCAAATTCAGCTTTCAAATGCCAGTCTTGCTCTTATACAGACTGTGAAATGAATGTGCTGCAGTGCAGGGTTCCAGGCGCCCCGCGCCTTTCGCGGTGGCTATCTCAGTCCAAGATGCACTGTGATTTCCGTCTTCATCCCCCAGACAGTGAAACTCTTCAGTCATTGGACGTCCACCGGGCTTTTAAGGTTCAGGGCTGGCTTGCTTGCTTGCTTGCTTATTTTGAGACATGGTTTCATGTACCTCAAGCTGGCCTGTACCTCACAAGGATGGCCTTGACCTCCTGAAGCCCCTGTCTCTACCTCCCCAGTACTAGGATGGCACACAGTTTGTGTGGTGCTGGAGAGGAAACCCAGGACTTTGGGTGCACCAGGCAGCCCCTCCACCAGCTGAGCTGCAGTCTCATCTCAGGAAGTATCCTGACTGAAATTAGTCAGGAACTCCAAACGTCCACATGACTGAGGCTCCCTCGGTTGTCCCTTCATGCGGACTCTGTCTCTCCCTGTCCAACTTTCAGCCATGCCTTCCTCCAAAAGAATTTGAGTGGCCAGCAAATGCCATGTACTTGGCTATAAGGTGCAGATTTCCTTCAGCATTTAGCTAAAATGTATACCACTTTATATGTGTGACTTTAGTGAGGCCTGCAACTTTGATGCTGAGAGACACTTACAAGAATAGTATCCACTTTGTGTGAATGTGTGTGTGAGAGAGAGAGAGGCTGACTCGTTCACTCACTCATTATGTGATACTGGCTGGCTTATAACTTACTATGTAGATGAGGGAGCCCCAAAGGCACAGAGATCCTTCCAAGCTCTGGAGATAAAAGAGTGTACATCTAGATTTTTCACTTTTTATAGACTTTTTAGATGTTTTAAAGAGAGATTTATTGAGACAGTTTATAACATTATACTAATCCTCCTTTGAAATTCCACAACTCAGGTGTTAACACATCCGCAGAATTGTGTCGCCATGACTACCTTCTGACTGCAGGAGTTTTCCACAATTACTCAAAAGAACTCCTGTGGGGGTCGTTAGGTGCCCTTCATCTCCCTCCCTCAGCCTGTCTGTCCTTCACACTGCATAATGAAGTGAACGCACGGTATATAACCTTCTGTATCTAACTTTTCTCCCCCGGTTTTCAAGTTTTGTCTGCGTTATCACGTATCAGCACTTCATTCCCACGTCATTATCTGAATTGAGAAACATGTCCACAGTGTCCACGCACCGAATAGTATCCGAAGTTCTGCTCTGTCGTCAACGTATGGATGTTAGTGTGAACACACGATTGTTTCTCTTGGTTGTGTATCTTGCACCCAAATTTCTGGACCACACGTTAACTCTGTGTTAGAGTCTGAGATGTTTTCTAAAGTCTATATGTTTTCTAAAGCAGTGATACTGTTTTACAGTCACACCACCAGTCCATGAGGCTTTACAAGTCTGGGTTTTCAACACATCTGGACATAAATGCCCGGGGAGCTTCACGGAAGAGAGGTTGGAAAGGCTGTGAAAATCAGAGGACCAGGAGTCTATTGTGAGGTCATGTGCTCAGTGTGTGACAGGGAAGCTGCACCCAATCATCTCAACAATAAATAAGACCTGACAGGTGACAAACACCAGTTGACAAGCCGACATGGATGGGAGAAACCTCACAAGGCCCCACCCCACATGAAGAGCTACAGGCTGCTGAGAGACAATCAGTCTTTCCCAGGAAGGAGCCCCCCCCCATAGGCCATCCAGTCCCAAAGTGGTCAGCCCTAAAAATATCTACATATGAAGAACATTAAATGGAGGACAGAGCAAGCTATGTATGCATGTACCTGTGCACGGGTGCGTGCGTGTGTGTGTGAGTGTGAGTGTGAGTGGGGGAGGGAGGTGTGTATTCAAATAATAATCAAAGAGAAAGAGGTTATGAATTTTCAGAGGGCATCGAGGGGATGTGGGAGAAGGTGGAGCAGGGAGAGGATGAGGTGGAAATGCTGTTCTTGTAGAGAATTTTAAAAATAACTTAAAAAGTTTTGCGTTTTAACTCATAACCTGCTCCAACAGAGATGAGATGGGTCTCCTAACGAACTGTGTATTTTAAGTCTAACCATCCTGACCAACACCCCCCATTCTTTACAGTGAAGACACTTTCCTTCTTTACACAACGGTGATAAGACGGTACACTAATAGTTCCCCGTTTTGTTCTAGCCAAGGAGAGATGGGAGAAGCAATTAAGTACCTGGAAAAGGTTGTGAACATTGCAAGAAACAACTTCCAGAGCCTCGATGTGATACGCGCAAGCACGATGCTTGGAGACATCTACAATGAAAAGGTGAGCGATCCGTCCCTTGGGTGTGGAAAAGCTCTCAGAGTTTCAAGTCTGCTCTCATTCTGTGCTCGCCATCCCACATGGCCATGTGAAAATGGCTGAAACCACAGGATGTAGCACAGGCTAGGCAAGGTGTGGGTTAGTAAATCCTCATTCCTCCTCCAAGGGAGTTCAGTACTGTTGGTACAGGCCCCGCCAGCCATCACACCACCACCCGCTGTTCCGAGTGACCGGATATGAGGAACAACGATTCTAATTCAAAGGCACTTTGTGATAACTGTTGGCTCTTATCAACTTATCTGGCATTCCTCTCTTGGTCCAAATTATTATTTTTTAATCCTATTGGGGTGCTCTGGGTTAAGCCCCACCAAGAGAAGAAATGAAAATCCCAACAAGGATTCCACAGAGACTTTAGAGTGGGGTTTTCTACAGCATCGCAGGAGCCGTGATTAGCAAATGCATCAGTTGTAATACTAATTTTATTATCTTTAGTTGCCCGGGGTCTCCTTTAGAAACTGTTTGGAGGAAGCCTGTTTCTCTGGTTATAATTGCTGTTTTGATCATGAATCAGATCTATCATTTTTTAGGGTAATTATATTCTCCAACTGTGTTCATGCGGTCTGTGTTAATCCGAATGCTCAGTGATTAAAAGCACTACCTCGGAAACCCACTGCTTGGGTGACAAGCCCAGCTCCCTCACTCATGAGACCTGGGACCTGGCACAAGTTATTTACACTTCTAGGTGCTTTGATGTTTTTCATCTCACGGGGTTACGGTAAGGATTAAATGAAGTAGCATGAAAGCAGAGGGGGACTATGGGAAGAAGGACCCCCTCCGTGGTGATGGCGGCAGTGGAAGGCAGGAAACACGAACAAGGTGCAAGGAGATGTGTGTGAAAGTGTCGTAATGGAAGCCATTCTTTCATATACCAACTCACGTGTTAATTGTGAAGAGTTGGAGCTGGGCGGCTTGAGAGATGGCTCGGCGGTTGAGAGTCCTTTTTGCTCCTGCAGAAGAGGTTTGCTTCCCAGCACACACACCAGGCAAGTCTCAACTACCTCTAACTCCAGCTCCATGGGATCTGACACCATCTTCTGGCCTATGCAGGCACCTACATGCAAGTGATATACATAAGTCTCTACCTCTCTCTCTCTCTCTCTCTCTCTCTCTCTCTCTCTCTCTCTCTCACACACACACACACACACACACACAGAGAGAGAGAGAGAGAGAGAGAGAGAGAGGCTAGAGAAATGGCTAAGTCATTAAAGTGTCTGTTTTGCAAGCATTGAGACCTGATTTCAGATTCCCAGCACCATGTTAAAAAAAAAAAAAACAGTGGGTATCACATGATTATAACCCCAGTAATGGGAGGGCAAGACAGGTGGGCCTCTGGAGGTCATTGACCAACCATCCTACCCAAATCAGTGAGCCCTAGGTTCAGTGGGAGAGTGATTTATTACCTGGTGTTTGATTCTTGGTAAAGGGTTTAACACCCAAAGACTGTCAACTACTAAAAGTTAATTTTTACAAGTTTATCCTCATTATAAAATTTGGAGGATTCTGGACATTCATGTCATACACACACACACACACACACACACACACACACATATATGCTTCATATGAATATATATGGTTTATTCATAGAGATCAATAGATGGCAGATTCAGATAGAGAGATAGACAAATGAATAGATGGAAAGGTGATAGATGGATAGATAGATAGATAGATAGATATGATAGACAGACAGATAATATATTAATTTTTTTTTCTATTGCTGTGGTAAGACAGGTAGGCAGCTAGAGCAGAACGTTGAGAGCTCATGTATCAAACCAAAAGTAGGAAGCAGGGAGAAAATTGAGAATGGTGTAAGTCTTTGAACACTCAAAACCCGCCCATGGTGCCATACTTCCTTCAGCAAACCTGCATGTTCTAAGCCTTCCTGAACAGCACCACCAACTGAGAACTAGGTGTTCAAGTGCCAGAACCAGTGGTGGGGCATTCTTATTCAAGCCACCAGTGAAAGACAGGCAGACAAATAGATGGTTCAAGTAACAAGTTGATTCCAATACTTTGGTGAGTCCAGTAGTCAACGCTTACTGATAAATAACATAACATTGGACACATGATTTTATGACCACACACCGTTCAAAACAAAGTTTGATTTGTTTCTCAAATTGTTAAAGCTACATTTAATCGTTGTGCTGTCTTCATGTTGTCATCATATGTAAGTATTCTGTTGACAGTGGCTCAGGTTAGCCTGGACTGCTCCATCACTACTTTCAGTAATTACTTCTCTGTACAGTCTGAAAGGCAGTAGGTTTAGCAAAGGAGGGTGACTGGGACTGTGTGATAGTAGCTATCTAAATTTTCTCTAAGTTCTGCAAAGTCTCGTTCTAAGAAAACATTGACGACAATAACTTCCTACCTCTACTCTTCAGTGGCTGTGGACAGTTCCCAATTATCTTACGTGCTCTTGTACAAGTCACATAGCTAAGTAATACCACAAGTTATTTGAGTGAGTAGGAATTGATCCTTTTAGGAAGGAGTTTAGAGCAAGGCAGAGAGTAACTACTCTGGATTTTGAACTTTTCTCAGGTACTAAAAATCAAGTAAGCTATTGGACAAGGCAGTCCTCTGGTCCTCAGTTTCCTCACCTTGCAACTGTCCTAAGAAGAAAACTTTCAAACTAGTGGCAGCGCCTGTGCCCACCATGCTATCTCACTGGTCCTAATGCACCATTTTCTATACATTTACGATGTCTAGTAGAAAACAACACTTAAATGCTAATGTAAGCTACTAGATTTGAATTGAAATGTTTTAAAATTTAAAATTTGCACACAACCATTAAAATGAGAAATGATTAAATGTTTCCCGCAATATTGACATAGCTTCAGTAAAGAGAGTGTGGTCGATATTCAGAAAAATGTAAGAAGAGGAATAGTGAAGGTGGAGAGGTGGCTTAGTGGTTGAGAACCTTCGGAGGAGGTGAGTTAGGTTCCCATAACCCACATCAGGCAGCTAATACCTGTAACTCTAGCTCCAGGGAAATGCAATGCTTCTGACATCCACACATCAACCCCACGGTACACACATGCAAACACAAAATTAAAAATTATCTGAAAAATTCTTTTTGCCTCCCATTTTCCCCTGCCCCGTCTGGCCTGAAATTCTTTGTGGAGCCCAGGCTAGCTTCACATTTGCAGTGCTCCTGTCTTCACCTCCCTCATGCTGAGTTTACAGACACAGCTGTTCATGCACAGCTGGATTGGACGGTTTAAGATAATATGGAGTACCTGGTGGAGTCCCGTTGTACATTAAGTACAGGATCACCCTTCGCTCCTGATGTGTCAAGTGCAGCCCTTTTTCTCAGGCCCAGATGCACCACCCTCCGGCTCCATCAGACTGGCGTGTAGGCCAGTCTGTGTGACTGAGGAGGGAGAGCCCAGCTGTCTGTGGGTGGTGCCATCCCAGCCAGAGGTCCCGGGTTCTATAAGAGCAGGCTCAGGCACGAGGAACGAGCCAGTAAGCAGTGTTCTGTCTCAGTCTCTGCTTCAGTTCCTGCCTGGAGTTCCTGTCCTGCCTTCCCTTCATAATGGACTTCAGCTGAAAGGGGAAATAAATACTTTCTTCCCAGAGTTGGTTTTGGACGTGACATTTAATCACAGCAATAAACAGCAAACTAGGACAGCCCTCTTGTGCATTTTGCCATTCATGTTGTTCATGCCGCTTGTTTTAATGGTGCTGTTAGCAATAATTCCAAGGTATAACGCCATGAGGTAGAAGTTGCAAGGCAAAACTGTTACTTGAAAAACACTGAAATTGGGCTGAATGTGGTGGTTCACGCCTGTAATTCCACCACTCGGGGAGGCAGAGGCAGGTGGGTTTCTGTAAGCTTGAAGCCAGCCTGCTCTACAGAGTGAGTTCCAGGACAGCCAAGGCTACACAGAGAAACATTGTCTCAAAAAAATAATTAAACAAAATAATAGTAATCGTCATCCTCTTTATCTTAGTTAACATTTTATTGTACAATCAGGTAAAGCGAGCCTCCCACACCCCTCTCTAGATGAGACCTCCTAGTGGAATGTTAATTGAAAATTTATAATCAATATAAAGTTGCCAAATGAGAATGTTTTAGGGGAGATAATCAAGTACCTGCCCTTTATGAGATTTTTCATTCCTTAGTAAGATCTAAAAATAATAACGGTTAAAAGAATGGTAATTCCTATATTAGACTAGCAGCTACAGACGTCTGATGACCTGGGTTTGATCCTCCAAACCCATGGAGGAAGAAGAAAATTGATCCTTGAAAGTGTGTACCATGTGTACCATGATACATGAAAGCTCACAGTCACAGAGAAACAGATCACACACACAGAGAGAGAGAGAGACACGAGAGGGGGGGATCTCTGGGTGCTGAGAAAACACCCCTTTATTATGACTTTGATTATTGTGCAAAGCGACACTCTAAACAAGGAGGAGGATCTGGCAAGAAGCAGAACAGTCCATGAAAATTCTATCTTAAGCTTTGTTCCGCTGTATGACGTCACTGAGACCTCAGTCTGGAATTGTGGAGACTTTCGGAGGATTGGTTGGAGTTGTCTTCGCAGGAATGCACCTATAATTAGCTACACAATCTCAAGCTTATACGTAAGATGGTCAGAGCTGACCCCTAGAATCATGAGCAATTCATAATAGAGATGAACTGAAAACAAAGAGGAACTTTAGAAAGTTGCATAGTTTTAGAAGAGATTATATATAGTAAGCATTTTCTAAGAATTGAGAATCTATTTGACTTTATCTTCCTCTATTTCTTTATGATGACCATAATCTGTTTGATTTTAACACCCTGCTAAAATGTGGCCAATTGACACCTCATTTTCCATGTGGTTTCCTGAGTAAGGGGAGCAGGGGCTGCCTCTGCCATGAACTCAGTTGACTGCTCTCTGATCACTCTCCCCTGATGATGCAGCCTTGCCAGGCCACAGAGGAAAAGGAAGGATCCAGGCAGTCCTGATTAGACTTAACAAGCTGTGGGCAGACGGCGATAGTGGAGAACTCCCCCTTTCAGTGGACTAGGGGAAGGGGATGGGGGGAAGGAGGAGGGAGGGTGGGACTGGGGGAGTTGAGGGAGGGGGCTTCAATCAAGATATATAATGAATAAATTGTGAAGAAAAGTTTAAAAAAGAATTAAGAATCTGAAAATACAGTAAGCATTAAGGAAAACTCATTCCTAAAAGGTATGTTTTTTTTTTAAATGATAACATCTGAAAAATTATTATTGCATTTACTTGACAGAATTTTAGAGAAATCTTCATTGGTGGTGTTTTATGACAGTTTATGAATACAAAGATGGGATACAAAGCACAGCTGGAAGCAAGGACAACACCTAATGATACTTTTAGGAGGGAAAGCACTTGTGTTAAATAAGGCCCAATCACCATTTCAGGCATTCCTACTTTCTCTAAAAGCAAGCCACCTGTCCCTCCTCCTCTTGCTGCTCGGCATCACCGGCTGCCATATGACCTCACACACGCTGGTTGTCCCATGACTGACCAAGAGAATGCACGCGTTCATTTTAACATATGTCTTTAAATAATTCTGGGAGGTTTAAATAGATAGCCCTTGATTTTCCAAAATCAAACTCTAAACTGAAATCAATAAACAGCCTAAAGCTTAGAAATACAAGAGGAGCAGTTAGACCCTTTAATTTATGCTTTTTTTTTTTAAGGTTATATTTGGCCAAATTGTGATTGTGTGTGTGTGTGTGTGTGTGTGTGTGTGTAGTTTGTCCTACTTCATTGCTATCTATGAAGATAATGTGCATTTTCATCATCTTCAATATTTCTCATGGTTCTCAATCATGCGTTGTTGGAACACAGATGCCACCTTTGATACGGTTTTAATCAAATCATTTCTCATTATAACTAACGCTTTATGATAAGATAAAAACAATATAAAGGGGCTCTGCGTCCCCCAGGGAATTTGTTAGCAGGGATAGCTTGACTAGGGAGCCCGCCTAGGCTGCCCTTGTGGACGCAGGACGTCTGGTGGCACATGGGCTGCATGTGAGAGTAGTCAGTCCTCGCCTGGGCAGGGACCTCCTTACTCCTCAGACAGCCCATCGCACAGGAGAGCTGTGGAGGTGAAGCTGCTTCCATCTGTGCTGGCGTGTGCCTGAAGATGCAGTCAGTCTCACAATGTATGAGAATATGGCTTAAATTTTATTTCGAAACTGTCTTTCCTGTAAAGTTTCTTTTAAAAGGAGTGTTCAACCATGGGTTTGTTTGTTTGTTTGTTTGTTTGTTTTTGAAGAATTTTTTTAACTTTTTTCTTCGAAATTTATTCATTATATATCTTGATTGAAGCCCCCTCCCCTCAACTCCCCCCAGCCCCACTCATGCTCCCTCTTCCCCTCATCCCCTTCTCCTAGTCTACTGAAAGGGGGACTTCTCCACTATTGCCATCTGCCCATAGCTTGTTAAGTCTCATCAGGACTGCCTGGGTCCTCTTCTTCTGTGGCCTGGCAAGGCTGCATCATCAGGGGCGAGTGATCAGAGAGCAGTCAACTGAGTTCATGATAGAGGCAGCCCCTGATCTCCTCCCTCAGAGATCCACATGGAAACTGAGGTGCCAATCGGCCACATCTGAGCAGAGGGTCTAGGTCCTCTCCATGCATGGTCCTTAGTTGGTGCATCAGTCTTTGCATGACCCTCTGGGCTCATATCTTTTCATTTTGTTGGTCTCCTTGTGGGGCTCCTGTCCCCTCCATGTCCTCTAATCCCACCCTTCTCTTTCTCCATGAGGCTGAGACTCAAAGCCAAATTTTGGGAAGAATGCATGGAATTTTACAAAAGAAGGGGGAGATAGAAAGACCTGGAGGGCACAGGAACTCCAAAAGGAGACTAACAGGGCCAAAAAAAAAATCTGAGCCCTGGGGCCCCTGAAAAGAATTATACCCCAACCAAGGACTGTGCATGGAGAGGACCTAAAAACCCGGCTCAGATGTAGCCCAAAGACTCAGTCTCCAAGTGTATTCCCTAATAAGGGAATGTCTCTGGCATGAACTCAGTGGCTGGCTCTTTGATCACCTCCCCCTGAGGCATGGGGGTGGGGGCAGCCTTACCAGGCCACAGAGGAGGACGGTGCAGCCAGTCCTGATGAGACCTGATAGGCTAGGATCAGATGAAAGGGGAGGAGGTCCTCCCCTATCAGTGGACTAGGGGAGGGGCATGGGAGGAGATGAGGGAGGGAGGAAGGGATTGGGAAGGGACAAGAAAGGGGGGCCACAGCCAGAATACAAATTGATATAATTGTAATAAATGATAATAATAACAACAACATAAAAAAAAAAAAATACTCCCTGCACTCTGCCCAGAGTTTGGTCCTGAGTCTCAGCATCTGCTTTGATGCCTGTGGGGTAGAGCCTTTCAGAGGACCCTCCATAGCAGACTCCTATCCTGTTTCCTCTCTTCCACAGCTTCTGTGTAAACATGTCTTTCAGTTGTTTTCCTGAATGTGTGCGAGGGTTCACATGCAGAAAGGCACAGCTGTGTGGGTACATGAGCTGGCGCCTGCACACGCACACAGAGGCCGGGGTTCGAAGCCACGTGTCTTCCCCAGTCCCTCTCACTTTGCTTCCTGGGGCATAGTCTCTGCCTGAATCTAGAGCTTGACGATGTGATGAATCTAGACAACCAGCACTTTTGGAGATTCCTGCCTCCACCTCTAGAATTCTGGGATTACAGGCAGGCTGTGGCTCCTAATTAGATGCTGGGGACTCAGGACTCCAGTCCTGCTGCTCGAAATCCACTGAGCCATGTCCTCAGACACACTGTTTATTTGGTTTTATACATGTGTACTGTGGTTTTGGTTTTTTGCTTATTTGTTTGGCTGTCTTTTGTTTGTTTGTTTGTTTTTTGTTTGTTTTAGATAGGAACTATTGAATGACCAAATCAGGAAGATTAACATTCCTCTTGTTTTTATCTTTGCTTTGTGTTAGCGTGTGGAGCCCTTGAGTGCTTTGTCATGATTCCCCAGTGCAGAGCAGGCTGCTGTGAGTGGCTGTAGAGTGAACCGACGGCTGTGGGAGCAGGAACGTGGGAGGTGATGGACAGAAACGGATAGGGACCCCAAGGGTGTTAAGTCTAAAATATGGAACTTCTGTCCTAAAGAATCTCCAAAAGTACAAGTCAAACTTGGTAGCAATTTTCTCCTTTAAGGAAAAGCCTGTGTGTGATTTTTGGGAAGCTATTTGGAAGACATAGAAGTCCCTGTTTCGTTGTCCTCAGAAGTGACATGTGGCAGCTAATGACAAATATGCAGCACTTGCTACTGGCCGTGATACTTCTGTGTGCAAATCAAATGCTATTATTTAAACAAGAGCTTTCGGAGCAGGTAAAGAGGACCACAGGGAAAAAAAATCTTAAATTTTTAAAATTTGAAATATAACAATGAATTTAGCAAAGGCATGGATATTTAAACAATTACTATTGTTCTAACCACTTTACAGTTATGTGTTTTAAATCTAGACTCCCCTGTGTTCTCAGCTAAACAATGGCAGGTGCATCTAAGAAAAGAAAAGCAGTGACCAGAAGCAACCGAGAGATGCCATGGTCACTGGCTTCGCATCAAACGTCCTCTTGCTGAAAATAAAAGCAAAAGACAGTCAATATATTTCATTGGATAATTCAGTGCTATAATTAGTAAAAATGTATGAAATCAGTGGCAGCTGGCTCACTTTTCCCCAACTTTCTCCTGCTTCCATGCCTTTAATGTCTCAGCTGTAGATCAGCTTTCTGACTAAATTAATGTCAAGATTCAAACCATCAGGTAAGCAGTACTCAAAGAAGGTAGCCTTGTCTGACGAAAAGCCAGTTTGCCAACTGTCTCTCTTCAAGCACGGGTGTGCCAGGGTGAGCTGACCAAATCCATGGGGTGAGGTAAGACATTTAAAAAGTGGTCTTTATTCTCTCCTTCTCGATAGGGCCAGTACAGCAAGGCTTCCGAGTTCTTCCAGCAAGCTTTCAGCACCGCGATGGAGCTCATGAAAAGAGGGCTGATGGATGAAACCAAAGTTCACTATGGGATAGCCAGAGCCCACCAGATGATGCTCACCATGATGGGGTATATCGAATCTGCCGACGTGAAGAGCCTCAACTGCCTGCTGTCCTGGAAGGAGACTAGAACTCCCGTGCAATTTGACCCGATTCTGGGTAAGGCTTTGGTTTCCAGAGATACTTAGAGCCTGTATCGATCGTTTTCAGTGGCTAAGGCATCTGTTGGAAAGGCTCATTCGCACACTGGTGACTTCAGTTTGCTTGGTAATGTTGTTTCTGTTCACTCGTCACGACTTGGAGGTGGGTGGAGTCCTCATGCTGTATGGTACCAGCAACATTTAAGAGAATCATAAAACAAACAGTAGGAGTGGTCTGCCCTACCAAACAGCTCATGCTTTTTAATAATATCCACGCACATGACGTACAGATGAGAACTGTGGACACAGACTTGTATATGTGATGTACCTTACTGATAGTAGTTAATGTTTTATTATCTTGAAGCTGGATATCTGGGGAATATTTTATAGCATGCTTCTTCATACTACTTTTTGTTGTGAATGATTAAATTATTTTACCACAAATAACTAGGGCAAGTGTAAGGCTCAGCTTTGAAGTGAGTTTCATTAGACTCTGGGAATGAAACTCGGGTCACCACACAGTGGCAAGCATCCTTACCCACTGAGCCATCTTGCCCACCCTGAGCACCAAACTTTCTAGTGTAAGATATTTCCAATAATTTGTAAATTTAAAAAAAAAAAAACCTTCCAGTGAAATCATAGCGGAAACCTCACAAGGTGTCTCCTAGTTAGATCACTTAGAGGAGGTGAGGCTCTGTTTCCACATTCCACATAAAATAAAACAGTAAGTTATGCATAAAGGATTTCACACTCACAGGGTAGAAGGCACCAGCTAATGCTGTGGCCTCATGAAACAAGGGGAAGCTTCATTCCAAGCGCACGTTCAGTAAGACGGCAAAATCTCAAAACACACAGCTAAGTAAAGTTCCCTATCTTCAACTGCCCCCAAACATCCACAAGTAATTAGTAGTTGGCTGCTTGTAGAGTTGGCTCATTGTCAACATAACAATGCTGCGTGAGCGTTCGTCTGGGAGTTCCCCACATCTCAGGCTTTGGTGTTTTCAACCTACAAAATCAGGAACTAAATGAGGGAAATGATTCGTGTTAGTCGTCTTACATTGGTAAAGGTTCAGTCTGCAGAGGGTAAGTCGGGACACTCGGTGCCAGGTTTGTCCTGCATAAACTCTCACCATCCAGATGATACTGTGAAAAAAAATTCTCTGGGGTGTGGGGGATGGGGAGCCGTCTTCTGATGAGATGCAGGCCTGTCTGCCTGGACCTTGTTTTCAGCTTCTGAAGAGGCTTCTGCCTTGCGTTCATCTGTACCTCTTACATTTGTAGCGCTTTAGCTTTTGAGAGGTTATCATTTCTTCCAAAGGACTCAGGAGCAAAAGCAAATCGTGCATTCCCAAGTGTGGTTCAGACACTAATAGTCACAACCTGCATGGGGAGGACCTTTTTCAGAGCGCTGTAGAAATCACGCCCATCACCGGTTCATCTCAAGTGGCTCAGCGCTGTGCATAGAAGTGCCAATTAATAACTGTGCAGACGAGTATGAATAAGCACTGAGTTCTCACTCTGCTCATACATTTCGTATTGTAATAGGTTGCTCTTCTTCATGGGGAAAAAAATGATAGGAAATTATTAAACATGCATGCTTGTTTGCATATGTGTGTTTTTAGTTCAAAGTACACTAACATCTGCCTTTAAATGCTTTGAGAATATTCTTCATTTTTACTCTACTTAAAACACCTCACTGTCTCTTCACTGGGGTCTGGCTAGAGGCCTCTTGACCTTTCTGAGCCCCTTCTTTCCTGGATGCTCCCCTACACACCCCCACTCCAGCCCTGCCCACACAGCACTCCTAAGAATCACCAGCCCCCTTCAGCCAGGAGAAAGTCACTCCAGGTCCTAGGTGAGGAGGCTGGAAGCCCCTCCTATCTGAATATGTTCTCTCCTCTGAGCCCGGTGAATGTCATTCATTTCATTTCTCGCCAAGCCGTTTCATTTCATCTTCCACGTAGACCATTTGTTAATCACCTTAACTGCTCAGTTAAGAACATGAGCCTCTCAAACACACATTCCAACTTCTTCATATTTTCTAGGAAGGAGGATGTGATACTTGACACCTATAGGGTCCCAAGTAAGTGTCTGAATCAAACAGAATTCAAGATGAGTCTGTAAACCCGGCCACAAGCTAGTTCACACTAAGTGCTTTTAAAACCTGTGTTCAGCGCTTCCTTGGGCAGCCTATGACACCACAGTATTTGGATTACCATCCAATTATCACATGAATGAAGGATGGTGCTCACCAACTGTGATGTTGACAAAATGAAAAAGTACAAAAATATTATTTGGAAATCTGAGCAGCTTTTAAGTTTTCAACTTTTGCCTTCCTCGTAGGAAGAGACATCTTTAATCTTGCTGTTGAGGGTCCCATGTATTCAGAAAAAAAAAGATGGATCAAAGATCTGAAAGATACATTATGAAAGCTGTGCAGTTATCGGCACCTTGGAGACTTCCATCCTCCAAACAAATCATTAGCTCACAGAACTGTCAATATTCTTCTAAGCAGAGAACATGACCCCCTAAGGGAATCGAGCGTGGGAGCACCGAGGTCCTCAGATGAAATGGAACGGTGGCTCACCAGCAAAACGCTGTCATCTTTGTGCCTCCTAGGGAAGACGGCAGGAACAGACACCTTCAGACTCTCCTGATACTGGGAGATGGTCGGAATGATTCCTAGAGCCTGCCCTCCCCTTCCAACATGGAGAGTCTCCCAGGCTTAAAAACGGAGAGGAAAAAAATCAAGTGTATTGCACCTCAGTAAAATCCCTCAATCCTGATGCAACTCTAATGGGTTGCATGGGTTCCGGATGACTAAAAGGCTTATGAACTACGGAGTTCTCCAGAACATCATAGACTTTCCATACCTAAGATATCTTCCTAACCAAGGAAATGTTTGGTTTTATGGGAAAAAGTAGTACATATTGCAATCACAGACCCAGAAACATAGAAATAAAAGCTTTCCTCATTCACCGGAACAACAGTGTTAGTGTGGGCATGCACTACAGTCACCCAAATGCCAGTGTCGTGAGAATAGCATCAGTAACAAGATTTCCATGCACTTTCTCATTGAGGCCAGCTGTAAGTCACGCTAGAGAAGTAAGATACGAACTCCGAGCACCCCAAAGATGAGCGCGCCAGCTGTTTGGACTGCAAGGTCACTGTTTTCTGTGTGGTGTCCTGTAAAGGTTCATACGGATGGAAGATTTATCATCTTGCTTTCGTGCGATATTCTTCAAGAAAAGCAAGCAATGCCGTGACCTGGTCTCGAGCCCTCCCTTCATGTTGGCTTCACGTTGCACCCAGTTTAGTATCAAGGCATTTTCCTCTGTCTATTTTGCATTTCTCATTCATAAGCTCACCTCGCCCTTTTAAGGAATATGAAAAGGTCACATTCGTAACCAAGCCCTCATAGTCTACTGTGATCGGGCACTTTTTCTACAGCTTGACAATTTATACCTGGACACAGTACATTCTGATTATCGCCCCCACCTCTCTGAATTGCCACCTAGCTGTCTTTACATCTCCTTTTCCCAACAAGTCCCTTCTCCCCTTTAGTGTCTTTTGTGTTTTGTAACTCACTGAGTCTAACCAGGGCCATCTCTACGGTGGTGGGTTCGGAACCAACACTGGAGTCCAGTGGATATACCCATGGCTAACTAGCTGCAAAGGACGTCTCCCTCTCCTTCAGAAGTCCTTCAGTATCCAGTAGCTGGGGAAGGAGAGGTAGGACCTTCCCAGGCCCCATTGAATCCATGTAACTGGACAGGCCAAGTGCATGCAGCCAAAGCTCCTGTGCGATCGTGATTGTGTTGGTTGTATCATGCCAGAGCTAGCCTTTCACAGCCCTTCTTCCTTCCTTCTTGCTCTTACACTCCTTCTGTCCCCTCTTCTTCCATGTTCCCTAAACCTTTGATGGAGTGATGTAAGCGTCTTGTTTAAGGCTAAGCAGTCAACTGTCACCTATTCTCAGTATCTTGAGCAGCCAGTCGGTGCTGTATTCACCATCATTGCAAAGAGAAGTTTCTCTGATTAAGACTGAGATTAGCACTTGTATATGGGTATAAACATAGATTACAAGGCAGTTTGGTGCTATTACAAAAGTAATAAACAGTCATGATTTCCCCACTAGGGCTGAAGATATCATCAACCATGAGTTTTTGTTTTGTTTTGTTTTTCTGTGTTTACATCATCAAGGAAGAATTCCCTACTAGGGACAAGGTTCATGTCTACTCAAAGAGCATGTATTTACCCCTCTAACAGTCAGACCGTTATCACTTCGGTAGGCACACCTTTCTGGCAGGATGATGTGTTATAGGAGTCACAGCTGGATGAAGCTGTTGGTGCCTTTTCTCTCCACGCAGCCTACACAGCACCTTTCAGCACCATCAGCAAGGAAGCTTCCACTTCCGTTCCAGCGCGATCTCTCTGCCTTGTAGTCAAGGGATGAGGTGCCTTCAGCCATTGGGTCTTCTCGTCTAGTTCTGCTGAGCAACTGAGAGTGGCAGGTCTTGTTTGGAGGTGACCCCTTGGACTTCCCTTACCAATGCCATAAGGAGCTACCCTACATCTGGCCATGGGGCTTTAATAACGCATGGCTTCCAGGAGAAGACATAGGGTCTGGATCTCCATTCCCCATATGGGTTTCCATGTTGCTTAGGCCCCCTCTGACTCCAGAAGCCCTAGGGCCTGTTTCAATTGCTTCCAGGACGGCAGCAGTCAGAGTACCAGTGAGAGACTTGAAGCAGCCATCTGTATAGACAATTTTCAGTGTGCACTGTAGTCTATTGGTCTGCCTGTGATTTTTTTAAAGGTAGAGACTCTTAAAATACTGTATTATACTCTCATTTCTAGTCACAGCAAACAAATTGGATGAGACAAATGGAAAGAAAGCATTAAAATGCATTTGTATGTGTTCCATGCCCATGTCAAAAGAAGAAAACTAGCGTGTGCCCTCTTTCTGTTAGCCTTATTTAAATTGTTCACATGAATCTGCATTTCACAAGCTTCAGG